TCCTTTTGCAAGTTTATCTGTATTAATGTGGCTTTTTTGGCTAAAATTCAGTGCAGAATTTATCTCTGAAACCCAAACCATCCCCCAAATTAGTAAACAAACGAAAGCATCTTCACCAGCCACCCAAGTTCCTAATAAAACCCACGAGACCAGCTCTCAGTTCTTTCGTTTTTGCCTCTTAGGACCTCAGAGGTATTCTCCAAAGGATGATCCCAGAAGGTTTGAGGCAAAGAGATTTACTCCTTTTTGAAGAAAATAAACATTAAAAGCTCCAGAAATGTGCAGTTTAGGATACCCTCTTTCCTTCTTTTCTGCCGCTTTGTAGGCCAAAGAAGCCTATGCCCGTAACTTCAAGGAGCACAGAAATTATGTAAGATTTTCCTTTTGATACTAGAGAAGGCTGGATTTTCCTATGCTCCCAGTTTTGCCATCCATTGTAAATGCCTCTTGAACATGGACTTTGTCCCCTTGTCTCCTGCTTGTAGATCCAGCCTTGTCGATGCTTTGCAAAAATCACTTCCAGAAGGTTCCTTCTCATTTCCATTGCCAAGGTCAGAAGCAGTGAGCAGCTATGGGCTGGGTCAATGAGAATGGAATGCCATGTGTGCATTTTCAGATTTGTACTGTTTTCCTTGTATAGTTTTTGGTATTTTGTTGCTTGTACTGAACCTCATGTGCATTAATGTTACTGTTCTTGCTCTTTGCTATGGTAATGGATCGAAGAACTTGAAATTTAGCAGTGACACGAAAATGTCAACATTTGAAATACTATCATTAAAGAAAACCTAGAAAGTAGAGTGGCGTGGGAGGGGATAATTTGCAAGGAAATAGATATTGAGTCAATACAAAGTAATGTTTTCCAACAACTAAAAACAAACAAAAAATGAATTAATGTTAGTACATCTCCATGAATCTATTATGGAATAGTATGCACCTCTGGAAATAAAATGAATGAATCTACAGTGCTATTGTGGAAAGTATTCAAAACATAATCTTCAGTGAAAGAAGGCAGACAAAAATTGGTATGTACAGCCTAATTCTGTTTGTGAACATTTGAAATGGTATAGAAATATGCATGCTTGCATGTAAAAACAATTCTGAGAAAAAATAAACAATAGCCAAACAAGAGTCATGATTGCTGTAGACAAAGTGTGGAGGAGAAAACCATCTTTTCTGCTTATACCCTCTTCTAAAGATGATTTCCCCCACCACTATGAGCACTTTTATAATTTAAAAGTGTAGATTTTTTCCAAATACATTTAGGTTTTTTTTTTTTTTTTTAAGAAGGGCTGCTAACTTATAAGATATAAATTTGCAATCATTGGAGTCACTGAAACAGAATTTGCGGACCATTTGTGAGGAATGCTGTAAAATCACCTTTGATCCGGGCGTGGTGGTGTACACCTGTATCCCAGCACTTGGGAGGCAGAGGCAGGTGGATCTCTGTGAGTTCAAGGCCAGCTGGGTCTACATAGTGAATTCCAGGGCAGCTGGGGCTACAAGGAGACCCTGCTTCAAAAAGACAAAAAAAAAAACAAAAAAACAAAAAAACAACAACAACAACAACAACAAAAAAAAACACCTATGAACTCAGGTCCAATGATTCAGTCTTATTTGATGGAATCAGAAGTCCAAAGCTCACGAGTTCTTTCCAGCTGGCCTCCAACAGGAAAGACAAGAGGAGTGAAATGAGTGAGATTAGCTTCCTGCTCAGAATTGGTTTTCAGGGGAAGAAAGGAAGTTATTTCTGTAGAAGCCTCTTTTTATTTAATTTTTAAAGTTGGAGGGGGTTTATTTTTGCCAAACAATCAAAAAAGAAATGGAAACAGAATGCTCCTTCCTTGGTGTTTAGGATGCCACAGGGCAGCTGGCCTTGTGTGTTGGCTGTCCTGATCCCGCCGCTCCTTGTCGTCACTCACCTGCCCCTCTGTCTCGAGGAGTCCTCTTTTCCTGTGGGATGATGAAAGAGGCCACTGAAGTGCAGGACACACCCGCTCCATTCATTCTACTGTAGACCTAACGGATTTGATTCCCGAGTTACACAAACATTAGTTGTACCTTGTCTACTAGTTTATCATGAATCCCAGTTAGACAGGAATGGCGAAGAGCTACCCTAATCCACCCTCATCTACAAGGAAGAAGTTATACATACGTTGATATTTTCAAACCATTCTATGCTTTTCTCACAAATTTAGTGAGGACGCCTCAAGCTCCTCTGCGTTCAGCCATTGCCATCCCACTGCAGTGACAGCAGCAGCGGTTCTTGGTCAGTTACGAATTTTGCATTAATATTCATTTTTAATATTGTCTCAAAATCTCACTGATTTTAATTACTGAGGATATTATTATTATTATTATTATTATTATTATTTGGTCTTTTTGAGACAGGGTCTCCCTGTAGCCCCAGCTGTCCTGGAACTCGCTATGCAGACCAGGCTGGCCTTGAACTCACAGAGATCTGCCTGCCTCTGCCTCCTGAGTGCTGGGATTAAAGGCATGTGCCACCACACTCGGCGATTTTATTATTTTTTATTGGTGTTCCTTTAAATTTTGTACCTGTGATGATTGTCTCACGGCCTCAGTCTTCCCCCTTCACTATTCACAAAGCTTTCATTTTATTCCCTACAAACTGAAGTTCATTTCCTTAGGATCTGGCCCCTGAGTGCTGCAGCCTCTGTCTAATCCCTGTTTGGAGATGAAGTTGATCAGGTATCCTGCATTTAATCATCTCATCGCCAAGGGAAGTCAACTCACTGATTCACTTTTTCTCCTCAGTCCTTTCTGCAACCTAATGATATGTTTTGATTTGGAAGAAATATTTAGCAATTTTATTTTGTGTTTATAAGGGCATAATTGAGTGCAGAATCTGGATTATACAAAGAAGTTTTAAAACAGCAATTTCAAATTCTCCATATGTTACTGTGCAAAAAATTACTTTTAGTGGATTTTCTGCTTAAATTGCATTTTTTCATTGGATGTTTCTTTTCTTTTTTAAAAACTATTTTGTTTATTATTTTATTTTATGTGTATGAGTGTATTGCTTGCATGTATATAAGTGCACCATATTGTGCAGTGCCCATGGAGGTCAGAAGAAAGTGTCAGATTCCCTGACATGGATGGTTATTAGCTGCCATGTGAGTGCTAGGAATTAAACCTGGTTCCTTTATAAGAGCAGTCAGTGCTGTTAACTGCTGAGCCATCTCTCCAGCCCCATAATACTTCCTTTCTTTTCTATTCCTTCTTTGTTTCTTTTTCTTTCTATAAATTGTAGTCTGTAATCTGTCAGTCATGTTTTCAATGTCAGTTTTTATAATTTATGTACTGACCACATGGCTTCCATCAATGAACATATTATAATTAATTAAAAATTAATTTATATTCTTTCTAGTCTTCACTATTATAAATAAAATTATTAAAAATTCTTTATATATACATACGACTACATATCTCCAATCATTTCCTTAAATACATAATTGGAAGTGGAAATATTAATCCAATCAGAATGTGTATAGTTTATCACTAACATACTAATATATCATCAACTTATCAAGATTATAACATTTTTCCAGTGTCTATATTTTTTGGGAATTTCCATTTCTTCTCAGTGTAATTTCATTCTTAGAGAAAAGAAAAATGGATCATTTTTTAAAAATAAAAACACAGGGCTGGACAGATGGCTCAACAGGTAAGAACACTGACTGCTCTTACAGAGAACCCGGGTTTGATTCTCAGCACCCACATGGCGGCTACAAACCATCCTTAACTCCAGTTCCAGGGGAATCAGAAGCCCTCTTCTGACCTCCACGGCATTGCATGACATGGGTGCACTCACATACATGCAGGCAATACACTCATACACATAAAATAAAAATAATAAAATATAAAAAATTTAAAAATTAAAAATATGACAGTATCTTGTTTCTGATGTATTGTGTGGTCATGGTGTTTCTTGGGTAGTTGTGATATAGGACAAATCACCCTAGCTTTAAAATTATTACTGAATTAATTTGAAAAAATCGTTAGACCTTGGTGTTCTTGTTTTACTCTTTGAAAGTTGGGAGATAATGATCAGCTATTACCCAAGGTCTTATAATGTTGGATAACGTGAAAACACTCCTTATAAAAAGCAGAAAGTACTGTAAGGAACTACATATTTTTATTGGTACTAAATTCTTGTTCAAAACTAGAGCTTTTGTCTCATCACTAACTCCTTAGTGAAAGAATAGAGAAAAATAATTGTTTTCCCCATAACTATGCAGTTTATAATTATGAATGAATTAGAAAAGTCAGTTTACTCTAGTAAGGCCGACTGCCTGTTAAAATTTACATCTACACACAAGCTAGAAAAGGCCTGAAAACACACACACAATCTAGGAGAGCCTGTTGCTGGGCAACAAGGACTTGATTGACAGGCTTCATCTAGAACTAAAACGACTTTGAGGAAGAGGAGGCTTCCATCAAGTATTGAAGAAAGAGGAATCTGTCTTGTTAAAAGTATGTATAGGAGTCAGGCAAGTTTGAAAATATGTGATCTGTGACAAAAAGGTTCACGAGACAGACAAATTTGTGGGGAAAATGCAACCAGTTATGAGATGTTGGAGCAGCCAGCCTTCTTTTGTTTAGCAATGCAGAGGGGAGAGGTCTTTAAGAAGGTAATAAAAAACTCAATTTTAAACAAAATTTAGGTTAAAAAAATCTGAAGGCATACTTTAAGGGAATTGGGTTTCAAATTTAAGTATGTATTTCCTGTTTCTTTTGTCTCTTTCTTAATATCTATGTTCTAACTCACCAGGAAATCTTCTCCACACTTCCCACATAAACATCTATACATTAATTTCCTGACTATGTCTGTCTTTTGTTACTACACAGACAGCTGTCCCTGATAACTTGACATCTACCCAGGCACAGCATCTTTACCAGCTCCTAGTGTCCCCTGATCCAAGCACTGAGCACTAACGCATCTTGATGACTGTCCCATGTTGCTGTCATTTGGATCTGGAAGATGATGGGAGGAAACCACACAGTGGTGAGTGAGTTTGTTTTCCAGGGTTTCTCCAGCTTTCAGGAACATACACTGACTCTCTTCGTGATATTTCTGACCTTGTACCTGCTAACTCTGACTAGCAATGTCATTATTGTGACAATTATCAGTATTGATCGTCATCTTCATACCCCCATGTACTTCTTTCTTGGCATGCTTTCCTCCTCAGAGACAGTGTACACAGTGGTCATTGTACCAAGGATGCTCTCAAGCCTTGGAGGTTCAAACCAATCCATTTCCTTGGCTGGTTGTGCCACTCAAATGTTCTTCTTCATCACTTTGGCCATCACCAACTGCTTTCTGCTCACAGCTATGGGATATGACCGCTATGTAGCAATCTGCAATCCCTTGAGATACACAGTCATCATGAATAAGAGACTATGTGTCCAGGTAGTATGGGGATCCTGCAGCATTGGGCTGCTTGTAGCCACAATTCAAATTGCATCTGTGTTCCGAATGCCTTTCTGTGACAGAAGGGTCGCTCATTATTTCTGTGACATCCGTCCAGTTATGAAACTCTCCTGTGCTGACACCACTGTGCATGACACACTTAACTTTATCATCAGCTCACTGGTTATTGTGGTGCCCATGGGTTTGGTCTTCATCTCTTACATCCTCATCATTTCTACCATCCTCAAGATCTCCTCTGCTGAGGGACGCAAAAAGGCCTTTGCAACTTGTGCCTCCCACCTCACCGTGGTCATCATCCACTATGGCTGTGCCTCCATTGCCTACCTCAAGCCCAAATCAGAGAACACCAGGGATCAGGACCAGCTGATCTCAGTGACTTATACTGTATTCACTCCCCTCCTTAACCCTGTTGTATATACTTTGAGAAACAAAGAGGTCAAGTATGCCATTTACCGTGCTATTGGCAAAAAATCCTCACAGTAGCTGTTTGCCATATAGCAATTCCCTTTGTTTATCTGGAGTTTCGGTTACCCATGGTCAAAATTGATCAAAACACCTTGTATACATGTATGAAAGTCTCAATAAAGTTTTTTTAAAAGTTAAAAAAAAAGTACCAGACTGGTGGAACTAACCTTCTTGGATGTTTAACAGCCATACCTTGAGGCCTATACTACTTTGGTCAGAGGGATATAAAGGGCAGTTTTTGCTCCTTGCTTTCCTAGGTCAACTAAGTTCCAGGGGACTATGAGCATCAAAATGTCCTGTAACTGTGGTGAATCACCTGTCCTCTTGATCAAGGAGGCCATGGAGACCCTACCAGATGGACTTGAACCAGTGTCCAGTCTACAAAGAGGAGAGTCAACACAGAGGAATCATTTCCTCCATGCTTCCAAGTGAAGCCAGCCATGGTTGAGCAGGACCTTTGACTTATCTTCACATAGATGGAACTGGTAAAAGAAAGGAGCCAGAAGCTCCTCCCAAAACCCATGTGACCACTGAGGAAGAGAACCTCAAACGGCCTTTAGAGTAAAATTAATTGGTTTATCTGGGCCAACTATATGATCTTAAACACCCAAAAGGAAAGTATAACCAAAGATTAAAGAGGTCAGTATAATTTTTTGTGTCCATATGTATAGGTAAAGGCTACATAATAAGAAACAATGCCAGACAGGAGATACCTTCATTTGAGTTGTTGGCCAGGGTGGTCCAAGTGACTCCCAGACAGTAACCCAGAATAGAACTGGGAAAATGGACAGCAGACCCCAATCTTATCTAAAGGAATATTGACAACTGATTGTGCTAGATGAGTAAAAGCTGATCTTCCTGAAACAAAGAACTTTAGATAGGCTGACTAGATTCAGTGGATGGACAAGCACTGGGGAATGGCTGGGGATTCCAACAACACAGGGGACATTAACAGGGATGACAGAGTACATGGGCTCCAGTTGGGCAACGGGGGGAGTCTATGGGAGTGTGCCATTTGGGAAGTGGGTATATAGATGAATAAGATTGGGATGTTCTGAATGATATACACACACAAAAATCAACAAATAAGCAAAATTAGTTATATTTGAGGAGGAAGCATAAAAACTTACTTCATGTTAATTAGTAGAGGTGATAAACATTACCATTGAAATCTACCTAATGACTTTATATCCATACTTAGGTGCCAAGGATCTGAGTATAACCAATTGTGACTAGTAATCAGATACATAGAGATTAGAGACACATGTGCAAACATCTAAGTGTTAGTAGCATTAATTCCTGATGTAAACTATTCACCAGTTTAAACAGTTTCAAATCTAGTACAGCCATGATCCATCCTACCTGGGCCATGAATGGTTCCTTTGTCAAGTGTATCCAAGTTCTTTACACTATGTGCCCATTGTGTGTATGGCCTATAACATCTGAAAAACAAAAAAAAAATGACTTTTATTATAATACATTGTTTTAATAGCTCTATTACATCATTAGGAGTATTTGGGTCTTGTGTGTGTGTCTGTGTGTGTGTGTGTGTGTGTGTGTGTGTTTGAATGTTGGAGGGTGTGTGTATATCAGGGTCCACATTTGATATCAGCAATCTTCCTTGATCACTCCTCTACCTTACTCCTTGAGACAGAGTCTCTCAATCAAATCCAGAGCTCACGGATACAGCTAAACTCTCTCATCAGTTTGCTCTGGAGTGTCCGTGTCTCCACCCTTTGAGGATGGAATTACAGGTGGGCTGCCAAATGCACGTCCCTAGCATTTACATGACTTCTGGAGATTCAAACTCCAGTCCTCACACTTTCATGGCCAGCACTTTATCTATTGTTCCGTCTCCCCAGTC